GTGTGTGTGTGAGTGTGTGAGAGAGAGAGATAGCTCGATCTACCAGTTCTGTCGTATTGTGTGGCAAGAATTGTGGTATATTCTTATCTGCGCCTAGTTTGGAGGGTTCGTACCGTTCGCCCCTAGTTCATTGTTTTAGGGCTCTTCAGCCCTCACATCGATATCAGGACAAAGACCATAAATCTCAAATTCTGGACCCTAAACCTAGTTTTTCTGGGCCCAAATTCTCCCCACAGGTACACAACCCGCACTGCACTTGCACCTGATAGGTGATACCGATAGCCTGCCCATACTTCAGGACATTGTAGCGTCCAAAAACGATTTCAAAAGTATAGCGGTGTCTGTATATGATCTCAAGGACGCCCGTGCGCATATAGACCCCGCCATTGTGGAAAATCTGCGGGCCATCTTTGGGTCTGAGAAGTTCAACGACATCGCTTTCTTCCTGCGTACGTGTGTTGTATGGGTGAGGGGTCTGGAGAGATCGATAGAATTGTGTGAGTGCATTAGTAGAGCGTGCGGAACCCCTATATAGATATATGATAACCATTGAAAGCTTTATATAGATATATTACCTATATAGATATATTATATGCATTGAAAACCCTATATAGATATATTTTAGCCTTTTAAACCCCTATATAGATATAGTAGAGATTTGAATACCCTATATAGATATAGTAGAGCCTTTGCATGTCGACCCCGACGCGGGCAATGGACCGTATCTGAATTTGCGTTCATTTTACGGAAAGCGTATAGCGCGATCGCTTAACAAATCACACACATGTAGCGTCTAGGAACCAGATTATTTAAAAGCCAATCTAGACCTCTCTATACTCTACACACAAACACCAGCACTTCTTGTCACATACAGACGTAGTCACACACATGCAGCATCTACGGACCAGATTATCAAATGGCCAATCCAAACCTTTCCATACTCTACACACAAACACCAGCACTTCGTCACACACAGACATAGTCGTTCTACTACTCGGGTTCCCATGTCGACCTTGAAACATCGCACTCGCATTCCTGGTTAATTGTCCTCCTTGTTACACAGCCAGGACTGTCCGTATGTATACACGCACGCACATGAACAACTACAGGCCTGTCTATTCAGTGTTAAGTCATATATTCCTCCTTGACTACCTTAAAACAAAGTTCAAACCGGTTTATTATCCGTAATTAATCGGGTTTTCATCCAGAGGTATTGTTTTTTCAACCACAATTACTGACAACCTATCCACAATTTTTCTTCTTCTTTACAATTGATGGCATTTTATCCACAAATAAATTTTTTTTTTTCAACCACAACTTTTGGGGTTTTCATCCACAATCAATGGCATCTCAATAAACCCTAAAACCTTCTTAACCACATGGGCACGTGCAGCGCCCTTACTGCCGCGCATCCTGCCGCCAAACGTGACTCATCTGTTGGTCACAGACACGGACATGCTATTCCGAAGTGACATCAGTAAGCTATGGGACGTCTTCCACGAGTTCACCGACACGCAGGTAATGCATGGGCTATTGGGATACTGTTGTTTATGTTAGGGTTTAGGGTTTGTTTATCTCAATATGGGGTGACGTATGATGCGTCTACATGCGCATCAGGCGTAATATTCTTTGGAGAGTACTGGGAAGCGCTTAACAAGTAAGTGTTGTAACAACAAACAAGCGTGTTATAGAGTAACTAAACTACAGCGTATAACCAGAGGTTGTGTTGTGAACTGTCAGTCACATACTACACCGCAGGTAATGGATGGCCTATGGATTAAGAGACTACACCATGCCAAGTGTTCTCATAGGTGTCATAGGTGTCATAGGTGAGTGTGCATGGGGGTGACTAACTGAAACCTCACCCGCCCACGAACTCACTGCGCGTGTCACGTTTGCGCACTCTCTCGATACACCGGTCACATGTCTACTCTATACCGACAATAAGTCAAATCAAACACATGTACATACATTAATATCCGTTTATAGTCGGAACAAACACATGTTCACACATTAATATCCGGTTATAGTCACAACAAACACATGTACACACATTAATATCCGTTTATAGTCACAACAAACACCTGTTCACACATTAATATCCGTTTATAGTCAAAACAAACACATGTACACACATTAATATCCGTGTAGAGCCAGAACTCAATATCAGACAAACGTTTAACGTTATAACTCTCACTCACCTGTCGGTGGCTATCGTCACAATTGTCAGGTGATCGGATTAGCGCATGAGATGCAGCCGGTGTACCGAAATGTCTTTGGCCGTTACCGTCTCAACAATCCCAATCTACCTGAGGTAAGTGAGTGGGCAAGCCGTCATGGGTGGGAAAACTGTTGGTTGTGTTACATACGAGTGTACACTCAGTTGACCACACACGGCTATAGCTCTACGTAGGTACTCTGTGTATGTACATGTACACGGACACGTGTGTGTGTACGTGTGTGTGTGTGTGTATGTACATGTACACGTACACATGTGTGTCTATGCGTGTGTGAGTGCATTGTCTTTGTGTGTATGCACTTGTACAGGTATACATGTCTGAGTACGCGTGTGTGTGTGTATTGGCTTCGTGTGTATGTACATGTACACGTACCCAAGTGGGTCTACGTGTGTGTGTGTGTGCGTTCGTGTGTATGGCTATAACTCGAGGGGTCATGCGTATGTACAGGGGCAGTGCACGTGCACATACAACCACGCACAGGTACACGAATTAAACGATTTCCTGTGTTGTTGAATAGACTTCTCAATCCATGAAGGT